AAAAGTTTTTATTAATCAGAAAAAAATACTTTAAGAAATTGTCATAATGGCTGTATTAATCAAAATTCTATTTCTTTGATGTTTTTCTAAAAATATCGAGGGTACCCTTAGAAATCACACAAAGAGATGTACGGCTTAGATAAGTATAATAAAATAAAAAATAATTGAGCTGATAAATAGATTACCAAAAATTAAGGTAACATAACTTTTTGTGCCTACAATGCAATTACTACACAGGAAAAATATATTTCGAATCTAATAAATGTTAAAATTTACCTTTTTGCACGTTTACGACGTTTTATATGAGTGATGAACACTTAAAATAATTACTACAGAAAGTATGCTTACATGAAAAAAAAATTATAAGGAAATTTTAAAATAATAGAGACATTTTTACGAATACGTACCAAGTTTTATTTATGATATACACTAATCCAAAGTCAGAATCGTGAATTTTTTTTGTATTGTGTCGAGTTACTACATCAAACGGTCAGAAAAGACAATATTGAAAATTTTAACACAATTAAAAAAAAAAAAGAAACATTGTGCGCGTTTGTGGAAAAAAAATCAAGACATTAGGAGAGACAAAGCAAATCCAAGACGTGTCCATGGTTACCAGGACACTGATTACTAATAATCCAATAACCCTAATATAAGGATGCATATAGTACATAATATATGATGATGCGTGGTCTTCTGAATAATTTAAATTTTTAAGGTGGCAAATAAAAATAGTGTAAAAAAATTAATTGTTTAGAAAAATATTTCTTTATTTTGTCACACATATTTTTTAACTATACATACTTTTTGATACATGTACTTTTTTTTACATTCTCATTTTAATAAATATTAATTAGTCATTACATAACATGCATATTATCACAGTTCTTCATAAAATGTAAATTATTTTAAATGTATTAACACTTTATTTAACANATGGCTGTCCTGTCTCCTAATCTCCTCATGAAAATTACTACCTACGTACCTAATATAAATCCGTCTCTTGTTTTTTATTCGACGGTGTTATTGTTTTTTTTTTTTTTTTTTTTTTTGTCTTTATGAAAGTCGGAGTGCACCGTAACAAAATACAAAAAAAAAAGTCTTGGTGATATTTAATATCTCCAGCCCAGTGAAACAGCGACGGCAGTTGTGCCCCAGGGAGACGTCTTGTAAAAAAGATCTGCGAGAAGGAGGCTTGTAGCAAGGAAAAAAATGGAAGGAGAACGAACAGATGTTGGGTAAAGGGGGGTGGGAGTCGGAAAAATAAAAAAGACCGCCACAGCACGAGCTGGTTCGCCTTATCAAAAATTAAAATTTCATCCCGCCAGACGGCTTGGCGTTTTCTTCCTTCTGGAAGCCTGGAGGAATGAATACATTCGCCCGCACGAAGCGTATATATATACATGCTTATCAGAGGGCGATACGTGTTTTGGGCATCCTCAGGCTCTCAGGGAAGAATACGGATGCGGCATAATAGCTACTGGGAAACTAACTTCTTCGTTCTTGTGTGCAAAAGAGGGGGCCTCTCCCAACGCCAGGGCTGGAACTTGCAATTTCCGAGGCATTGGTCGTTAAATTTCTCTTGCCTGGTGAATTTTGCTTCTCTGATTGTTTCCAGCATGACGCCGTTGAATTTTTAATGAAAGTTTTCATATCCATACACCGGAGGAAGAGAGTTTCAGCAAATGTCAAACTTTGGGAGTCAGAATAATTGATTCACATTTTATAAGGTTTTGATTTTTTCAAAATCACGCAGATTTCCTGGGGCTATAAGCGAAAAATTGAACCTTTTTCATTCGAAAAAATGCTATTAGCAACAACATTGTATCAGCTATATGTGCAACGAAATATTTGGAAAATGTTACGAATTTTAGAATAGATAAAAAAAAGAGAATGTGTGAAAGAGAGTATGGCAGGGTTCAGGGAAAGAAGAAAAATGGGAGAGAAAAATTATGTAAATATTTTGTAGACTTTAGAATAACGCTATTGACAAAATAATTACGGAAAAGATAACTGTAAACAGAAAATTTTTTTTAAACTGTCACAGTCGTCACAGACGTAGGGTCGGAAGAGATAGTAATGAGTCTTGAAGGTACAGGAAAAATGTTTTGAAAATAACACGTGAATCAAACAATAAGATACCAGTATATTTAGAAAATAAGAACCTAAAAAGTCTTATGAATAGAAATTGAAAAAAAATCCAAACACGTATTAGGAAGAGAAGTTAAGGATATGTAAAAATTATTATTTATCAAAGTGGAATATGATACTAGAGAAAATCAGTCATAAATTTTATGAATATTAAAAGGCATGGTAAAAATACTATAGGAAACAAAAAAACTTAAAAATTATAAGAAAAAAGTAAATGAGGGTGAAAATTAGATCAAACAAGAAACCCAATCTCATTGGAATAAATCAAATTAATTTTGACTTTTGGACAAAAAAACAGCAATTGCAGAAAAATAATAATAAAATAGAAAAACCATTGTCATTTGACCGGAAAAAAACCAATCGCCACTAGGACTTTTTTTGTAGCTGGAAGGCCAGAAGGGTAACCTCGATTATGTAACAAATACTACATTTTGCATATCGATGGTGCAGTAAATGTCTAAAAGTCACCGTTCAATTTAAATGGATTTAATATTTTATAATGTCAAAATGCGAAAATGTTGAAAAAAAACTTTTCTGCACTCGAAAAAATTTGAAAAGTAATAGCTACCGTTTTACCACACAACACACAACAATGCTGAAATTAACGTTTTTTCCTGATGTAAGATATTTTTACAATAATTTTTTAATTAAAAATTATTTGTAAAAAACGTATAATATGACTGCTTTTAATAGACATATACATACACATAGACCTACATTCAAATTCACACAAAAATATTTTTATTTTTATCTGAAAATATCACTTAGTAGAAAAATTCATTATTTTACAGAAATTCTAATACAAATATTACGTACGTTAACTTATCCCACGAAAAAAGATTTAAAAAACCAACTTCTTAAAAAAAATTTATTTTCAAAAACAAAAAAAAACAATACAGTGAAACCCAAATTTTACTTAAGAGTTATAGAAAATGTTTTTAAAAGCAAGACCAAAATAGAAAACAAAGGGTTCAAAGAGTTAACTGTGACATATGTAAAAATTAACCAAAAACACTACAGTATGTATATGAGGAAATCCACAAAAAGTATCCCGTAAAACGAGCCCGGTTTCAAGGGTGTGCCTCAAAAAAATTTTTTTATTCAAATCGGGGATGAAAACATGATATTTTTTGTGGATTTACTCATATACACTGAACTCTTAAGAGGTCAAGAAAAAAATCAGACAGAAGTGGATAAAGGATGATTGATGGAATGGGAGGAAATCCTTGATAAGATATGATTTTGTAAATGTTCGGGAAAGATCCAATTAACAGATTTGTAGTTACAATAAAAAAGGTTCACTAGATAAAAAAACTAAATTGAATTTGAAAGTACTAAGAATTTGCAATGCAGGGGACATAAGATAATTTTTACAAAGAGATGTAAAAAATGATTTGAGAAACCGATACATATCACAGATAGCATATGAGTGCTAATTGTAATATTCTGCCATCTTATCAATAAAATGCCACAAACCAGAATCTAAAGTATGTAGATAGTATCATTATTAATAATCTCACTCATGCCATCGTTACATTTACTTTTTAAGCAGTCGAATTTCTGAAACAAGATGGATCTCACATGGACGCTTCTGGCGATTATTGCAACTTATGTAATAACACATACGTTTTTGACTAAAACTTACGACTACTGGAAGAAACAAAATGTACCATCTTTACCAAATCCGTTGCCAGGATTCGGACACATGTGGCCAGTTATTTCCCTTAAAAATAGTTTAATGACGTTTGCTGTGGATGTGTATGAAAATTCGAAAACTAGTATGGTTGGTTTTTACTTTATGCGAAAACCAGGTCTAGTTTTATGTGAGCCGGAACTAGTAAAGAATGTTATGGTCACAAACTTTTCAAATTTTAGTGCTAATGGAATTGTGTTGAACGAAAAAACAGATCCCATTTTATCGAAAAATCCTTTCGTCATCGCAGATCATCGTCGCTGGAAAGTCGCAAGAGCTCATACAATAAGTAACCTTTCGAGTCAAAACCTAAAGTCACTTTTTAATATTGTTAAAGATGTGTGTCAAAACATGAACGATTACGTTGATCGTAAAATTAAAGAAAACAATGATTCATTTGAAAGTGAACTGAAGGATACCTTTGCTCGATATACTTCGGAAATAGTGGCAAATTGCGCATTTGGAATGGAAGGTCATAGTTTCGAAGATAATCCAGATCCGTTGACATTCGTAAATGTTTCTAAGACAATTTTCGAACCAACACTANAAAAAAAAAAAAAAAAAAAAAAAAAAAAAAAAAAGTAGTTTTCTCGCAAGGCCATTACGTCTATTTCCTCGTATGTTCCCCCGGGGATTATAAAAAATTCAGCCCATCGTCCTCGCAAGCTGTCAAACGCGCACGCGACGTCCGAGCGGTACATTATAGTCTAATGAATCCACGCACCCAGGGTCCTCAGAAGCCGGATGAATGAAAAAGAAAAGAAAAATCTCTGCTCGCGATACCGAATAACATCGAGAGGAAGCTGTGTGGAGTGTTGGTTTCAGTAGATGATGTCGGGTTAAGGTCAGACGGGCTTTTCCCTCGGCCCCGGGATTGAGAGACGGCGGAAGGGGCCAGCAAGAGGAAACGAGTCGAGCGCGAGTATTGACGTGCTGGGTGGGTTTTTTTTTTTATCAACCGTAACATTAATACAAATTGGCAAACAATCAAATATGCTAAGGCACTTGAACCTTCTTTTTTTTTTTTTTTTTTTTTTTAATAATGAAACCGAGTCACGTTTCTCTCACCGTACCAACTCGTGTCCTCCTTTTTCCTCCTCGGGTACATCCTACCTCGCGCGTAGCTCTCTCTCGCTCAGCTGAACACTCCCTGTACGCGGTCGTTTCTAGGACGCGAAGGGACCAAAATGCGGTACAATCTGTATAGGGAGTCCTTCGGCCTCTCTCTTTGCTCTTGTTCTCTGGGAAAAGAGGCAGTATTAGAGGGAACTGAAAAAAAAAACAAAAAAAACAAAGCTCAATACTTGTTAGAATCGAAAATCGAGGCACAGTGGTGTTTTTGCCCTGCAGATTTTGGTTTTTGTTTTAAAAAACATTGTAAGCTCCTCCAAAATATAGATGCGTTACAAGTTGAGCAACCGCTGCAAGCTCTGATGGTTTCTTCAAAAGTGTCCCTCACTGATAAGTGAAAAAATTGTACGGTATCGATTTTTCCCTGCTAACAGTCAGTCCAACCACCTCTCGCCTACTATATCAACATGTAACAATACCAAGACAAAAGTCCAGCTGATTAAAAAGTAACCAGCAAAGGGTGGCGCCGAGCTGCCGGGAGCGCTGAGTCACCCACCGCAGCCTTGGCTGCGAGTTCAAGGTTGTCCTCCTTACATCGTCCTTCGAATCCGGCCCGCTCCCTTTGCTCTATCAACGCGTTTATCACACCACTGGTCAAAAGAAAAAGTCGCCAAGGAAAAGATGATCAGGTGACCCTAGATCTCATCCCCCTTACAATCAACTGTCATCACCACATAAAGAATTGTCGCATCTTGGAAAATATACAGAAAAAAAAAATGTTCTCCCCTCAAAGCTTGCAGTGGTTAGTGTTATTGATTTTTTTAGAGCGCAATAAAGACACGAGTTTTTTTTTTTTTGCTTTCAGGATTACGTCAAGTTGCAACTGTAAAAGTTAAGAGAGAACAAAAAAAAAAAAAAAAAAAGAATTTCAATTCAAATAAAGCAGCATGCAGTTAGCCTTTTTTTTAACTACGCCAATACGTGTGCACACAACGGCCAAAAGGTTATTAAAGAAAAGCGGTATCGAGTGCGTGTATTATTAATGTGATGTATTATTAAGCTGAAATCCCAACGTGTTACACGCATGAGCGATATATGCGTACTCCACGGACACCCTCTCCCCCTACTACCTAAATGGAACGTGAGAGGGGAAGGGTAGAGCGTCTATATGTACATACGCGAGTCACGTGCGCGGCCTTGCTACCCCCTGCTATCTCCACCCCTACACAGTCGAAAATTAAAGTGTGCAAAACATATGCGGGGAATTTAGATCTCGATGCGCCGATCTGGGTGGCAGGGGAAAAAAAGGCAAATAAAGAAACTCACCAAGCAGCTGTCACGTAGAGCCTGGCTTCTTGAGAGCTGCGTTAAATTACGAGTGACGAAGCAGAAACAAACAAAAAAAAAAATAGATTTCCCTTCAATCTAATGATACAGCTGAAACACCATAGATCCCTCGAAGTACAAGGTATAATGTATCATCGGCGTGTGTATAAAAAAACCTTGGGCGCCGCACTTCGTGTAGTTAATCCTTTGGTATCGTTTTTACGTCCACTCTTTGTCCGACGCGATGCACTAGCGCCCCTTGACAACACCGCACAACCCCAGCACGACTCTCCTTATTCCCTCGACGAGCAGCTTTTGCAATTCTCCTGCTGCTTGTTGTCGTGCGGTACGCGCGCCAACCACTACCACATGACCATCACTACCCCGAATTTCGCTCGTCCCACAAAGGCGCACACTACGAGCCCCAGGATTGTGGCGCGATATTCTATCTTTGGTGCGCTATTTCGCGGAGCAGGAGGGAGGGTTGATACTCGGTCCTGCGCGTCGGAGGATACTCCGACACTTTCCTCTGTCGATGCGAAGGTTAACGCCGAAAAAGCTACTGCCGCCGACGGCTGGACTGGTGGAGTGGCAGCAGCGAGCAATGAGGGGGTTGGTTTTGGTACGTCAGGATAACGCGTAGGGGCGCCACCTTAACCTTAGGGGGTGGATGGATGGTGTAGATGTACGGTGGTTCGACGACGAGGTGGGTACGTATAGAAGACCCTTTGCGAGTCTTGGTGGTGGTCGTGAAAAAGGGATGGAGAGAATAAATTACAGGGGGGGAGTGGGGACATGACGGTGGTAACGTCAAGGGAGGTATCTGCCCCTCCAGCCGCTCCGCTCTGTTTTTGTGGAGGGTCAGGAGTGTGGGTAGCGCGAAATGAGCCCCGTTTGATGGTTTTTTTTTTTCGAGAATCTTAGCTCTTTTACCAAAAGTTGGTATCTTGGAAAAGAAAAGTTTTGCCACTGCATTTTTCGTTCTTTTTTGATACTCTATGACAGTTCAACCTTTACCTTTAAGTAATATAGAGCAGATTTTTACCCAGCACTCTGGACTTGCTGTGTTTATTGTTGAAAGATTTTTGACTATCATGCCATGGATGTACCATGTGGTTTCAGGCACTTTTCACCTGTTTTTGATACTTCAATGTACGTTTTTTTTTTTTTAAATACTTACATCAGAGATGAAAAGGAAAAAATTTCATTGATATTGATTTTGAACTTGTACCCAATCATTATAATGTTGCGATTATATAGGGGGTAAATATATGATTAAGCTGCCTCATAGAATAATTATTAAAGAAATATAGTAGTTAATGCTAGCAAAAAATCATTTTCTCGGCTGCAGGATATGAACTTTCATGTTTTATTTTCAGGCTGCCTGGATCGCTAAGTGACCTAAATTATTTAATTTCATTTGTGACTTGGCGCGAAATGTGACGCAAAGCACTTAGATATGGAAAATTCATACAGGAAACAATTAATACCTTCTGTAAAATATTTTGGAGGGAGGATTAACAATCTTTAATAATTAATTTTTAAATCAAACATATTATCAGGTTATGTTCCTTTTAAACCATATTCACCTTGAGCAATTTATTTTATCCTGGTATCAAATTTATCTTATTCGTACTAACAATCGAATAGTTCCTAATTTACAAAATTTTATTAAAAATTTATATTCTGTGCTTAAAGAGAGGTACTGCACGACAAAAAGCTTAGTAAATGTGTAAAAAAATTTAGTACATTTTTTTCAAACATCACCTTAACTCCAGCTTCGTGCATAACTGATTTTTGGACAGTGTATACTCAGTTGAGATGGTATTTTACACAAAATTTCTTGTAGCACAACGGTGATGAGAAGATAAGGTATTTTATATTTAAAAAATCAAACGTTCCTTAAATTTCCTAGCAAAGTCCATAGACTCTGATATAAGGCCTTACCCAAATAATTTCCAAGTGAAAAGTCTAGACATTGTCTGCGTTGGCTAAGCTTTTTTTCTACCACATACTCTGACCTTACAAAAGGTGCAATGAATTCTGAAACGTGTTGATTATAAAAAGATCGGATATCATCTGAGGAACTTAAACTAGTAAATAATTATTTATAAGTGATGGAAATCGATAATAAGAAATAATAAAGTGCAGATTTGAGACTAAGAAGAAAATTTGATAATTGTCATCATTAGTTATTTTTATTAATTTTTTTAAGTGGCATATTGGAAGGTGCAAAAAAAACTATTAACTATTGTAAATTATTATTAACTGAAACTTGTAGTTTCTACGTACCATTTATTATTAATTATTAAAACATTTTAGAGCAGTGAATAAAAATTTTTACAAAGTATTTTCTGTTCTACTTATAAAATTAAATTCTACTAACTTAGAGCGCAATAA